ACCAAACCCCCGAAACACGTTGACTCTATACTGAGATCCTAAGAGTAATGAGTAACCTAATCATGGGACTGTTTGTACTCGGCGATGCTCACTACAAAACCATCGAGAGAGCCAACTCAACAGCATTATCAAAAGAAGAGCATGATAAAGGCAGCCTCCATGTTTCCCTCATTCTCGTTTTCCTTTAAGAAATAAAAAGCTATTTTGTTTTAGTGTTTCATTCCTGTTGCTGCCTTTTATTACCAGGCTCTAATTGACTATGGCAGCTAAAATTACTTTTCGTTTTCTTACTCTTAAAGTCTTCCCATCAAACTGTCAAGGTGGGAGAGAAATCAACAAAGCCAAGGAACGAGAGCTTGCTTAAAATTACGAGAAAACGTTATGGGCCCATAAAACAATCATATTTCATAAGGGTCGATGCTAAAAGTTGAGATATAAAAAAAATAAAGGTATTTTAATGCTTTGTAAAAAAGGACGGCCAGAACTCAAGGTTTGTTAACCAATTAGGATTTTATGGATGGCATTAAAAAAAAAAAGGACAAAGCCTGTCCTCAAAATGATCCACGAGTGCCGGAAACTGCTGCAGCCTGACATGAGTGACATTGCGTCTGGCACTGGCGCATTACCTTTGTTTTCTTAAAGAGATAAAATTATATAAACAATTAACTTATTTTAAGCATCTTCTTTACCTGTAAAATCATCTCTTGTGTAGACCTCCAAGATCACTGAGACTGCTGCTCGGCGATGCCATCTTAGATGTGATGTCAGCCGCCGTCAAAGCTGTCATTTAAGTGACACTCGATAGTATTCCCCATCAGTCCACCCAAGTCCACCCACCCATAAAAGTTTCTAGGAGGAGGGTATAAGGAGTTTGCCTACACGTGATCTATAAGTAGTTCCAGTGATGGACTACAAATCAGTACACTAAACATGAGATTGTAGTCCATCCCAGGAGTGAGCTTGGAGCGGTGACTACTTTACAACACACACAGGGTCCATGGGGAACAAAAGTAGCCACCCTCCAGAAGGAAGGACAGTGTCAGCACCAATTCAAAGATGATTAGAGGATCTACAGCCGAGTGATACAGAAACAAGTAGGGATGCACCGATACCAATACTAGTATCACTGCCGATACCGAGTATTTGGGCGAGTACTCTCAAATGCTCTGATGCCTAGCCTGATAACCGAATATCCGGTATCAGGAAGCTGGGCAGCGAGTCATTACACGCTGCCTGGCTTTCTGATTGGCCAGAAAGCCGGCTCCATGCTCCCTCGTCACTTGGTGTAATGACTCGCCGCCTACCTTCCTGATTGGTCGGGAAACTGGCCAATGAAGAAGTCGGACGGCGAGTTATTACCTGCCCCACGGCTTTCTAATTTGTCCAGAAAGCCGGCTTCAAGCTCCCTCGTCACCTGGTAACCGGCCAATCAGGAAGCTGTGTAATGACTCACTGCCCGGCTTCCCGGCTAATCAGGAAGCCAGGTGGTGAGTCATTACACGCCGCCTGGCTTCCTTAATGGGACTTCCGGTATTGGTATTCGGTATCGGCGAGCACCAAGAAAAAATAAAATAAAATCGGTACTCGTACTCGGTATCGGTGCATCCCTACAAATAAGATACATTTTTATTAATAGTTAATGTACTTGAATGCATTTTTGAGATTTATCTCCTGAGTTTAGTGTTACTTTAACTCTAATTTTTGAACTTTTCTAACGATGCTCTGTTGTTGTTTTTTTTATTTTTTATTTTAGAACAAGTTTTTGCAGACCAGAGATCATCTACAAAAATAAACTACATCCTGTGAATATCTAACTCTCTGAGGAAGGACTAGAATAGGAGTGGCAATACATTTTCTAGCACCAAATTTATTACAAGAGGAGTGGGAGAAGGAAATCGCAGCCCGGGTCGATACACTCAGTATCTCCTCTCCCCTGTTTGAGATTTTTGCATAAAAGAGGCACCCGGCTTTCCAATCCTTCACCATGCGCACTGATAAATGAGTTTAATAAAACAAAAGCAAACTAGCCAAAGAATGTTTATTTAATGAATCAATACCACCAGTGTCTATACCCTGCCTCTATGTTTTCTCAATTATCTTCTACTCTTTGTGGGTGTCTTAATCGTTATCTCTGGGGAAACATTATATTTCACACAAAGTGAAACTCTTGCCTTTAAGCCTCGTGTTATTCTATGGCACAACTAATGTTCCCTTCTTCTGTAATCTTCATTATAATTCAGCCTACAGGCAGCAAGAGACCAGCACTTCCTGTTGAGGGCACTGGTCACCTCTTGCTGCTCAATGTCCACCAGGTGACCAGTCTTCTCTATGACCCATTGTTTCCATTCAGGCTGTGCTAACATAATTACATCAGAGGCACCTTAATCAGTTGGCATGTATATTCAATTTACACTGCTTAAGTCGGGTATACACATGTCAGTTTTTTTAATAAAAAAAAAAATAAAATAGAGCAAATTCCTCCATCAATGCTTATGAGCGTTGATGGACGAATCTCCCCACTGTTTGCATTGTTTTCTGACAGCGGCCACCAGCTGATTGGTTGGCAGCTCAGTTCGGCCGAGAATTTTCCAACTTGCTCCTGCCAGGCGGAAGGTTACCCAACAGCGGCACCCACTTTGCGAAATGTATCTGGTTCATCAGGATCCGGCTGAAATTCGCACCCTACTTTAGGCCCACTTAGGTGTTCCCAGCCCCTCCCATTGACAACCCTTCTGCCTCTACATTCTGTGTGCGGGTGTTCTATCAAAGTTTGTGACTACGTTGGAATGTGTGACCGGTCACACGGTCACACATTTTAATGTGATCCCGCCCAGTTTTTCGGCGGTGGAATGTGTGACCGCTCATTGGGTCAAGCATTCCGACGCTTTTGTCAGCTGTTCCAGGGCAGATCGGCATCGCAGATCGCATGTACAGGAGAACCGATCTGCATTACCCCATCTGCCTGGAACAGCTTATCGGTCCTAAAATGTCACTTCTATCTGACTTCATGAGTGTGGTGGAATGTGAGATCGCACTCACAGAGTCGGATAGAAGTGACATTTGATGACCAATCAGCTGTTCCAGGCAGATGGAGTAATGCAGATCGATTCTCCTGCACATGTGCAGTGAGATGATCTGCGCTGGAACAGCTGACAAAGTGTTTGACCTAATGGGTGGTCACACATTCCACCGCTGTAAAACTGACCGGCATTACGTTAAAATGTGTGACCACGTGACCGGTCACACATTCTAATGTAGTCACAAACTTTGATAGAACACAGACTGAAAGCTCATTGGAAATATTCTGTAGGGTTCCCTATGTGCACAAGGATGTCATGTGGAATGAGCTGGAGAACCCTCCTCCCAGCAGCGAGAACAAGAAGCAATCTGATTATGTCATTGGCCATAAAACCAGCACTTCAGGATCATGGCTGCAGCTTTAAACCCTTTTCTCTCTTTTCTGTTCATCTCCTCGGCTCCTCTCTCACACATCATTTGGCTCTTCTCCTTGCTCCTCCACCTCCATCATTCCTAATTTTTCTCCTGTATCTCCACCCTCCCATCCTACCCTTACTTTTCATTTTTTTTAAACCTGGAACCCTTATAACCTTTTTCCACATATTTCATAAACACCAGCGGCCATGCACTTCCCAAGACTTTCAGGGAGACTATCTATCCTCCACGTCCCTCTTCCGCATTCATAACATTCAATTTTCATTTCCACAAAAGTCGAAGGCCTTCCTCGGCCAATAAATCTGCATGTGGCCCAGACTTCAAAAAACTCCAGAACCAGAGATCCAGCACAAAAGATGATGTGCCTCTGCATGCTATTCCTGTGAATTAGAAGCTTCCAGTAACACACCTCTTACTAGGATTACATGTGGAGGTCTTCAGTTCATATAAACCACCTACTAGAGGACAAAGCATAAAGATGTATGCAATCTGTGCCCTTCCCTGTGACACAGGCATCATGATCAACCTTGAACCTTTGTCATCTGCTGGTACAGTAGTTACTCAACACTGCAGCTCAGGTCTTGCTTTGCACACCTGACCCATATTTACTACCTATAAATAGAACTGGAAATCTCCACTTAGTGCCTGATCAACAGGTTTGCTCATGCTCTGGATAGTGGTCTGATTGTCTGTGACTGTCCATGCCTAGGATTTTCCTGTTATCTATTTGGACTTTGCATGTGCTCAGCTTGTCGGTGCTAACCTAGATCTTTGGTCTGTTACAAAGTAAAAACAGTGAAGCGCCACGGACTGTCAGTCCTTAATGGGAATTGCTTTTAGGCATACTGCAGGATGCTGCCCCAATTAAGCCGGGAAAGCTGGAAATCTAGGAAATAAGCACAAAAGGGGCGCCTTTCCTGGTGCAGATCACTTTTATTTCAATAAGCATCAATAAAAAAAAAAACGAATCATACTCACAAACATGAGTGTCACAAAGTCATGAGGTGAGGACTGACAAGCTGTGTGATGTCCACTACCAGTGTAGTGGTGACGTTAACGCGTTTCCGGGGCACGCCCCCTTCATCAGAGTCTGTGCCCTGTCTGCTTTTCATGTAAACTGGACTCTTCATCTGACCTGGCCTTTAGCGTGCTGACTCTGCTACTGCTGTGACTACCTATCTAAAGGCTTGCAAAGGTATAGCTATTGTCTTGGCATTTATCAACCGTTGCCTCTGGTAACAGAGAGGGTCTACCGAACTCTGTGACAACAGTATTGAGGAACATGCTTCTGGCAAGGAGCACTCTAACAATGACTCAGAAATCAGCTGTTATTGTTCTGACTGCTTCAAATAACTGAAAAGTGAAATTTGATAGCTTGCTAGGAGTGTATGAATTTTTTTTACACATCATTGCTCTATGAAATAGTATTCCTGATAGTCTTGCACCAAACTCATGAGCTTACTAATGTATTTTACGCACCATACATTAAAAAAGAGGTATGACTCAGACACAAACAACATTTCTATTGTTTCATAATAGCGACTTACTTTGGTAACGTTTTCAAATGATTTTCTCTTAATTCCAATATCCGCAATTTACTGAGCCTGAAAAAAAACACATAAAACATGTTGTTATGGATACCAGTGCATTAATGGCCTTCCATAGAAGTTCTTTGTTTAGCTTTTATTAGGCCCGTCCATTGTCATGGGCTAGATCATGAGCATTTTAAGTGCTACTTGCTATTGCCTGAAATAAGAGGAAGAGGAGGTCCAGTGAAAGCTTCAGGTCTTGACACATCCAAATTCTGCATTGGTTACCAGTAAAAATATATTCATTTAAAATGTACAGTACGGACACTTCTAAACCTCACGTGTAACAGAAAGAATTACCAAATGGGCATAATCTAAATTCTTGTATTGACTGAAGTTCTCCTTTATTGTACATCTGTGAACAAATTCCAGCAATCTTGCTGTGGACCCGTTCATTAATACATACAATGGATGTGCCAAAACATGCGTTACTGTACATTGCAGTGCACCGCATTACCATGGCCCATTCTTTGTTTTAACGGGCCCCGAGGATGGAAAAAGAATCACTCCTGCTCTATTTTTTTTACCACAGTACACTGCCCATCATGAGCTGTACTGTAGCAGAGGTGCACTCTGTAGATGAATTGGGGTACCATACAAAATGAATGGCACTGCAACACACCACAGCGTGCTCGGTGTGTTAGTCTGTGTTGTTGATGTGCAAGTTTTACTATTTCATGGTGGTGTGACCAGGCAAAAAAAAATTCTGAGGAATCAGTCATGTGGCTTTTGCTAAAAGGAAGGACCACTGGTAGAACCTTAAGCTGGGTATGCATTGGTAGATTTTGGAATTAATTTTCATGCAATAAATCTGGTCAGAACATTCCATAATTTCATCAGAGATTTGACGAATGGCGTTCGCAATTCAGTTTGATTTTAACATTTGATTTTGGAATAAATGGAGTTTCTTGAATGAAAACCATATTCACTGTTAGAAATTCGATCTGCTCCTCCTTTAATATTCATCACAACGGCCAAAATTGATTGTTGCCCCATTAGCTATTAGAAAATCAAACAAATGTTCCAAAAACACATTTTGTTCAAAGGAAATTCTACTAGTTAGCTTCAGCTTAAGGTTGTTGGCCTCAGTCTAAACGTGACACTCCCCGGCGACTTTGGAATAGGCAATGTGACCAATGCCACAGCAATCTGGTCGGGTCATTAATATAGGAAGGAACCAAGAACACCATCTTTTGCACTGATTCAATGATTCATTATATTTAAGAGAAGCTATACTGAACTAAAGAATCTCTTTGCAGGTAGATGCTGGTGACAACGCTTCAGGTGCCACAAACCAGTATATGGCTGCAAAGGTTATTTTACTGTTACTGATTAGGTTAAAGGTTAGCTTATGGTCAAATCTGTGTTTGTTGAGAAGTACGTTGAACATACAGAAATCTAATTGGAACAAGCAAGGTATGACATTAATAATGGAGGAGTTAGGAGAAGGCATTGTAATCAAAAGCTGGAGTAAGACCAGGACTCAAGCTACATTAACAGGACATTTAACAATATGGTCATGGTGACAACATTGAACATCCAAAGCCAAAACAAGCATCAGAATTCACGGTAATCATCGTAATTGCTTGAGGCCAATAACTGCATACTCCATAGCTTATCCCAAGCTTAGTTCTAAATCATGGTAACTAAAAAAAAGAAAAAAGGCGTAAAGAGAGATATTCATATAATTTATGATGTTGCCCCAGTGGGATACCATGGGAGGTACAGACATTTTCCAAAAAGCAGATACCACTTGATGGGCAGTAGAGAAGATGAATCAAAGTAGAAATCTTTTCTGATGCTTCTCGGAAACAGTATACATAGATAACAGATCGATTTCAGGGGAGGGGGTCAAGACAGAGCCATATAAATCAGAATAAATAGCAAAGATCCAAAACTAAAATTGCTGC